CACACACACACACACACATGCGTGCATGCATACATGCATGTACACACCATAAAACTGCAGACGCGCGGGCGCGGCCGGCCAGCCGGGAGCACCCGTCCCCACTCTGGACCCCCGGCTAGCCGGTGGGGCCAGGACTGAGGGGCGAGGGGAACCAGCACCTCGAGCGTCCCCCCAGGGGAGGTACCCCTGAGGCCCGGGGGAAGGCCAGACCGATAGGGCGAGGAGGAAATGGCGCCAGTGGACGTTGAGCTCCTCGTCTCTCTCTCTCTCTCGGTCTCCCTCTCGCTCTCTCGGTGTCTCTCTCACCCTCTGTTGGCCTTTCCCCCAGCTCCTGCCCCCGCGGGGGGAGGGGGGCCCTGCTCCCCGCTTCCCGGCGGCCCCTAGCCCCGGTCCCGGAGACGCCGCCCCCGCCGCGTGGGCCCGTGGCGGGCGGGCCTCCCCGCCGGAAAAGGCAAAGGGCCAAGCGCAGAGACCGGGGCTGCGGACACGATCCAAGGTCGGGCGAGGGCAGGGGACAGAAGGGTGCCCACACATGCTTATCATACTAAATAAAAATACCTTATTGACTTATGGGCTGCCGCGTCAGTTGCCCACCGCGCGAATGTGATCGGCTGCGCCCCCCGGCGGTGGACATTCCCCGGCAGGCTGGCCGACCACCATCAATGCACAAGGCCCCAGAAGAGGCGGGGGGGGGGGGGGGGGGCGCGTTTGCTGCCAGTGTTCTGTGCCCCTGCGCCCCGCCTCGGCCTTCCGGCCGCACAGGAGCAGGCCGCCGGTGGTTGCCCTCTTCGCTGGGACGTCGTCTCCGGGTGTCATCGGTCGGTTAAGGACCCGGCCCCAGGGCGTGGTCGGGGCATCCCTCGGGCCCGGCCCCGTGTGGACCCAGCCGATGCCGCGCTCTCCGCATAGCCGCCACCCCCCCCCCTCCAGGCTGTTACATGAGTCATATATGGAAGAGCCCGATGGACAAACGGGATCGCGGGAACAAGAAGAGATTGTATTGTGTGGAGATTCCTCCGAAAGTGCCCCCGGCGCCTCGCCGGACGGATCTGGGCCCTGCCCTTGGAACAGGCGAAAGCCTCCATAGCATTCTATACTCACGCGCATGTTCTCGGGTCACGATGTCGCCCTGGGGTACCAGGCGGGCCTCTGCGACCCTAACTGCATGGACCATGGTGTGTTCATGTGATCACACGCCATCCAAGGAGCACGACTCGTCGGATCGAGAGGGCCTTGTTTGGCTCCGCGTGTGAGCACGTGTGGGTGTACTCGTCCGTCACATGGAGTCGGGAGATCTCGCCCGGGAACCGGCTCCCCCCGCCCGCCTGCATCCGGCCCCCGAGAGACCATCCCTCCCGAATAATAGCGCACATACACATGTGTTGAAAGGAGCGAAAGAGAGAGGAGGAGCGGGGGGGGGGGGGTAGGTATGATGTACGTCTATACGCGCGTGCACACGTACAAATGCACGAAAGAGGAGGAGAAGGAGGAGAAGGACACTTTGTCTACGAGGCGCTCGGGTAGTGGAAATTCGAGAGAAGCCCCATCCGGGGATACGTGCTGTGCTGTGTCCCCCCCGGACCACCACCATTGGCGGCCGCCACGACGGAAAGAGGGGAATCTGAAGAGGGAGAGGCACTCGTGCTGGCGCTGGCTCGGCTGGCGGTGCCGCACTCGGTTCGAGCGCCGCCGCCGCCGCCGCCGCCGCCGCCGCCGCCGCCGATCGAGGCAGAGGGCCCCGTGGCCGCGGCATTTGCTGCCTCGGTGCCGGTGGCGACATTGCCGCTGGGGCTCGGGCTGGGGTGGGCGCTGGCCGACGAGGCGTCGATATTGGGACAGGGCGGCGAGGCGGCCGGCGAGTCGATCCCGACGCCGGTGATGGGGGCCGAAGTGCCAGCCGCCCCGGCCGGGGCAACCACTCGACATGGCCGGTCCAGGAGGAGCTGCTCCAAGCGAGCCTGATACAGGCGAGTGGCATCCACCACGCTCAGGGCGGCCTCCAGCTGGGCGGTATCGGCCAGCGAGGCATCCCAGTCAATGTAAAACAGACCCGGCGCCGGCTCGAGCGCATGCTCACCGGTGAACCATCCAAGGACCGTGCGCGAAAGACTGGCCGGGGCCGGAGGGGGGGACCGGGCCCCGGGCCAGCGGAAGGCCCGGGCCTGGCGAGCAAAGGCATCCCGGAGCTCGGTGTACCGCCGGCTGGTGAGGTATGTCCGGAAACGCGGGCTCAGGGGGAAGAGCTGTTCCTCGGGGCGCCAGATGACCACCGGGTCTTCGGGGGGATCTTGCTCAGGCCCGATGGCGGCCGGGCAGCCATCGGGACATCCGCAAATGTCGCGCATCTGTGGCAACCGCAGGCGTAGACGGCCCTGCAGGACGGCATTCGCCACCAGGGCCAAGCCCACACGGCTCGACAGGACACCGGACCCACGACGCCCAGACGCAGCCACCGCCGAGTAGGTGTGCTGTCGAGCAGGGGGGCTCGGAGACTCGGATGGAGTCCCGGAGGGGGTACCCGTCATCGGGGCCGTGGCCGTGTTGCCATCCCGCCCGGCGGTTTGCCGAGCCACAATCGCCGCGGCCTCCTGGTCTCGGTCCAAATCCCGAGCAACGGCATTAAAGGCCGCCTGGACCTCGGGATCGGCGAAGGCATAGCCAAAGCGCGAGTAGATATAGGCATTGTGGAAGTGGGCCGGCGCATTGACCAGCGCATCGCACCGGAGACGCTCGGAGGCAATCCATCCAATGACATCCCCCATGTGGCGGAGGATCCCAAGCCCGGGGTGTGTTTGGCCGGGGAGCGCCGGCCGCGTCGGGGAGAAGCTCTCATTGGGCGATTGGAGCAACATCCAGTCCAGTCCAAGCAAACGAAGGCGCTGTGAAGCCAAGGGCAGGATGAAGGACGCGAAGTACTCCTGCCCCGGGCTGAGGGAAGAGGAGGAGGCGGCGGCCGGGCCATTTCCATTGGCCCCGACAGACAGGGCCCCAGAGTCGGACCGCGACGCCGATCGAGAGCCGACGGGGGAGGGGGTTTGGCTGGTCGAGAGGGGCTCGGAGCTGGAGCCATCGGCCGCCAGCCCGCCGGCGGTGCTGTTGTCGACAACGCTCGCGGCGCTGGGACTGCGACTGAGTCCGCGCCGCGCCAGAAGCTGGCTGGGAGTTGGCTGCACATGAAGGGCATATTTCAGCTGCCCAGGGTCCTTGATGTCGCGGAAGCATACTTGCACCAGGAGCAGGCGCTCGGGAGCCCCGCCGGTCGTGGTGCCCGGCGGCTTGGCATCGGCGCTGGCGCTCGGGCCCGGAGCGTCGCAAGGGCCCCGGCGACCGGACGAGGCGTTGGCAAAGATGAAGAACGAGTGGACAAACGGATCACTGAGGTCGGTTTCGAGGGTCAAATCCCAGTAGCCCTTTTGCCGGAGGGCCTCCAGGACACCGGTGCTGCGGATCCGGTCGCGCAGATCACCGATCGGCATGCTGCCGAGGAAGAGCTCGCCCCCGGGGGAGGCCCGTGACCGGCGCCCGGGGCCGGTCGTCGAGGAGGCAGGCTCGTCGGAGAGGTTGACACTTTGGGGGCCGGTTTCCCCGCCGGCATCCGGGCTGGCGCCGAAGATGTCGGCATCGGTCAAATCCAGTGACCAGCTGGAGGAGGACTCAATTTGCTGGGCAGGCGACTCGCGGAAGAAACCCATCCTGGGACTGGGGCCGAGATGGGGAGCAGGGAGAAGGGCCGAAGGGGGCAGGGAGGGGGAGGAGGTCAGCGCGCATGGCTCCCGGGAAGGGGATCAGGGGGCAAAGAGGGAGAGAGAGGGAGAGAGAGAGAGAAAGACAGGGGGAGGCACACCCAGAAAAAGCGGGAGCGGCGCGAGAGGACGCGGCACGCTCAGGGGGCTGACGGCACCCCTAGGGGAGGGAGGGGAGGGGGGGGGGAGGACAATCAGACCCGGCAGGCAGCGGGGCCGAGAAGAGAGCGTCAAAGGGACAGGGGTGGGAGGAGGTGGGAGGAGGTGAAGAGTGGCGGGGTGGGGTGGGATGGGGTGTTCGGCTCTGGGGGAGCGGCCGTTGAGGCAAGAGTGTCGACACCCCCCCCCCCCCCCCCCCCCGGGCGGGGCCAGATTGCCATGCTTGAACGGGAGGGGCCCCGGTGCCCCAGGAACCGAAGGGCCGAGGGGGCCAGCTTCCCTGGGGCGGACAAACGGGGGGATGTGTGGGAAAAAGGCGCCGGTCGGGCACTCTCTGGAGCGCGCCAGACCGCCGCGGGAGCCTTGCTTCTGGGGTGCCGACTGGCGGGGCCCTCGTGTGAGCGTGCCCCCGCCCCCCCCCCCCCCCCCTGCCGTGCCTATGTCTCTCCCTGGGGCTATTTTCAGCCTGCAACCGGGGACTTCCATAGCCAGTTCCCCGCCTCTCGTTAGCCCCGTCCCCCCCCCCCGTCCCTGTGGTCCTCTACAGGTGGGGCGGGGCAGAGCGGGGGGGGGGGGGCCTGCGTGGGACCATTTGCTGGCCCGTATCTCGGCGGGTGCCGGGACCGCGAGAACCCCGACCTTCGCACACCCAATCGGGCGCGAGACATGCGCCATTAGGCGGAGGAGCCCTGCCGATCGGTGCGCCCCTCCCGCCCCTCTCTCTCGGGCCTTCCATGCAGGACCCCTCTCCCTGCTCGGGGCCGGCGCGCGTGGCGGAAGGGCGGCGACAGGGGGCACCCCAACGTGTGCGCAGGTGCCGTGCCCCCCCCCCACACACACACACAAGAATCTCGGGACCGAGGAAGGGACGCACATTCCGCACGACATGCCGTTGCCCAGCCACCCCTGCTCGGAGGCAACGAGCTTGTCTTGCGCAGACGACGACCTTCTGTCAGGGATGGAGGGGGGCGTATTAATTCGGTCCCCCCCCCCCCGCCCTCAACCTGGCTCCGCCTCAGTCGTGCCAATCCACTCGGCCAGGCCCGGATACCGCGGAAAGCAGAGCGCACAGTGGCTCGCCGCAAGAAACGCCCCGGGGCCTGAGCTGAGATGTGTTGGCAGATGATGGGCCGCTTGTTCTTGGGAGCGGGCGGGCGGCACCGGCACGTGAATCGACTTGGCTGGCTCTGGACTCTGTGAAATGACCCGGCTATGCCCCCGCCCCGTGTACCGGCCCGCGGAGCCCGCACGCCGTGGGGGGCGAGGGGGCGCGGCGGGAGGGCAGACCGAAAGGGAGCCAAGCTGTGTCCCCGCACCACAAGGGGGGGGGAGGGGGGACGAAAGGTCTGAGGACGCGGGCCTGCGTCTGGTTCCCGGCGCTCCGATGGGCCAGGGCGGTGGCTGCTCCGCCCCGTGAAGGGCCACCGAAGCGCCAGGGGCATCCTCCGCACCTTCGCCCAGTGCGCTTCGCAGCGGGTCGACTTTTGGTCGGACCCCCAATACGCACGACAGCCGCCTGCTCGGGGGGCGGGGCGAGCCGCGGCCACGGCCCAAGGGCCCCCCTGTGCACATGTTAGCAGGACGGACGCTGTCTCCCAAACTGTAGACCTGAAAGCTCTTGGCGCCAAGCCCCGACAGGCACGGTCGTCCGATTCCTCGCTGAGCTTCGCCCCGACCTGCGGCCCCCCCTCGGTCTGGGTTCTGACCCTCGAGTACCACTGGCAACACGTTCCTCGAGATCCAAACATCCCCCCCCCCCCCCTCCCGGCCTCGATGGTCAAGCAGAAAATGGTTGATCGCCTGTTTTTCAGGCCCATCCGGTTGGAGGAATATCGCGCATGGTCCTGGACCGGGGCCAGGACACCCCCCCTTCCCTTGTCATCCGACAAGATGGTGAAGGCACAGACTGGGGAGATCCCTCTCCATGCTTCGCGCACTGTGGCCCCCCCCTGTCTTTTTTTCCCCCCCCCTTCCTCCCCCCCCCCCGCCCCCCCCCCCCCCCCCCCCGCCACAACGACGCCCTCTTGTACCCAGGTCACGCCCGGCCACTCGGGCCTATTACTCTCACTCGTCCGCCCGCCCGCCCGCCCGCCCCCCGCCGCCCCGGCTGCTGGCCGCGCCCCCCGGTGAGAGATGATGGGCCCAGCTGGGCACTCCCTCAGCGTGGCACTCTCGCCCGCAGGGCGTTCGCGCGTGCGGTAGCCAGGAAGGTCAGCCTCCACCAGACTGGCGCTGTTGCCCCCCGGCCTCCCTCGTCCCCAAGCCTGGCCCCCTGGGAGAATGACCCAGGTCAGCTCGTGCGCCGCTCTTGCTTCTGGAGCCCTTGAAGTGAGCCCGCCAAGGGGGGCGGGGGGGGGGGGGGAAGCGGCCTGTGGGAGCGACGAACGCCCCCTCCCAAGCCGACCTCCTTTCCCTGCCGCGTCGGCCGATCACCGTTTTCACATGGAGACGGGTGCCACCGAGTGCGGGGTGATACATCCGAGCGGCGCGTGGTGACATATCACGGACTCTGTCCTGGGGATGCCTCGTGATTTTATGTTCCCTCGGCAGGACAGACGACCGCCTTCATCGCCCAGAGTATCCAACACTGATGGCCACTTGCGGTGTTCATTTTTAGCGTCTTCGTTGGAGTGTCCCCCCTCCACATACACACACGGGCACGCCAGCGGGCGCTCAGGGCAGAGGAGGAGAGGGGTAAAGCGCCACGCGCTTTCCTGTAGACGCCCGGAACGACAAAGAGAAGAAAGCTGATCCCTCGCAGGACATTCATCCAGCAGGTCCCCCCCGCCCCCACCACCACCACCCGCGCGCGAGCCGCGCCATGCATGATCTCTCCAATTGAACGCCCCCACCCCGACCCTCCGCCCCCCACACGCAGGAGTTTCAATTGAAAAATAAAAAGAGGGCCAGAGGGAACACGCGTCCGCGACTCTGGCGCAGGGACCCATATCGCATGTACGCGCTCATGCGCGAGGCGGCGACAGCGACAGATGCATGTTCGAATGCATCTATGCCTGAGAAAGGAAGAGTAGAAGAGAGGAGGAGGAGGAGGAGGGTAAGTTACTGGAGAAGGGGGAGAAGGGGACAAGAAGAGAGGAGAGGAATGGGAGGCCTTCAGAATTGCATCACAAAGTCGTCACCGAAATCAGGAACGCATAGGTTTTGTCCTCATGGCCAGGTGTGTGCGAGGGAGAGAGAGAGAGAGAGAGAGGGGGGGAGGGAAGTAGGGAGAGCGACGGTGGAGAGACAGAAAGGTGTGCGTGCGTGTGTGTGTGTGTGTGTACCATTCACAGGGCCAGCCACCGGAGGGGGAAAGGGGGAGGGAGAGAAGCACACAGGCGAGTGCGCGCGTGCGCTGCATGCTGCCGACGAGGGGGGTCGCCCACGCCCCGCAGGTCCTTAAATAGCTGCTCCCAGTCCCGCGAGGGTCGCGACCCAGGCCCTCCAGCTTGATATGTGGCCCTCGGAAGAGTGCCATTTCGTGATGTATTTTCAATCAAATTTGTCTCTCGGGACATTTGCGGTGGGCATTGGCGAAGATGTCCTCGCACCCCGTATTTTTCTTCCGCAGGTTGGGACGACGCTCCGTGTTTGGCCCGGCCCCGCTGCCCCCCCCCCCCCCCCCCCCCGGGAGAACATCAGCCGCACCCCCCATTCCCAACCTGTCCAGCCTCCGCCCCCTCCCCGAAGCGGCGCGCGTGGGTCGGCGTCGCGGCCGGAATCCCGGGAACGGATAGCTCCCAAGCGGTCTTCGCCCCCGGCTCCCTGTTGATGATCGTATGCCCCGGACGAAGCAAACCGGACCAAGTTGCGCCGCCGCTGCCTGCGCCTTGCCCATCCACAGACCGGCCCGCGGATGGCGCACACCAGCAGGCCTCGGAGACCGGAAAGACCACCGAGTGACCGCGGACCCCCCCCTGAAAAGAAGAAAAAGTGTCCTCGGCGAATCTTACATGGGATCTGCCGCTTGATGGACATGGGTGGCGAGCACCGGCCCCCCCCCCCCCCACACACACACGCGCGACGCTGGGAGGGCCGCAATTCCACAGGACGAGGGGCGCCAAGCTGCGGCCAGCCGCTCGCCACCTCCGAGGCGTTAATTGACGGACTTGGCCCAGCCACTTGCCCACAAGAAAAGGTCCCCCCTCCACCACCGACGATCGGACACTCCCGACACCCCGCCTCCCTCCCTCCCTCCCTCCCCTCTCCTGCCTCCTGCCTCCCCTCTGCCCCGACGCCCGCACATCTTCTTCGCACGGGAGAAGAAATTGCTCCAGGCCTTCCCCTTTGGATCCTCCCCCCATCCCCGTTCGACGCATCCATCCGCGCGATCTATCATACAAGTACGATCCCCCCCCCCCCCCC